AGATGATGCTGCTTAGCACCGTAAAGTGTGTTAGGAGGAAACCACACCAGTGTTGGTTCTCATTAGTTGGAAGGTACAAACACTAACATATGTGATAGATAAGAGGTCAATATTAGAATTGCGAAGTGGGTATATAGGGGTAATATATGGTATATAATTAACGTAGTATCAGTACAGTTACCTGAGGAACACGTCACAGGAAAGCTGTAATCCTGATGTTGACTTTTATTTCTCTGTTGATTTCCAGGTCAGAACTCGCTGCTCTACACCATGTCGCTGGGTGGAGAGTTTTGGTTAGAAAGCGTATTGAATTAATGATCTGACGGTAGAAATGCAAGCGATAAAGCTCAGTAACATGAGGAGCTACCTGCCGCAACGCGAGCCCGAGCATCATTCCGTATGGCATCCGCACTCATAAGCCGACCAATCAGGAGCAAGATCTTCGGGAGGCCTTAAAGAGTTCGGAAGCTAAAACCGATCGTTTCAGACGAGGAGCTGAAGGAAGGTGCCTCAGCGATACAGGTATGAGAAAGAATAATGTAGTTCCTTTTGCAAAAGTTTGAAAACACTCTAAAACCTGGAGTTGTAGGAGAGCGCCACAAAATACAATTATGAAGCCCTGAAAGGGGAATAGACTATGGTCTCTTTTCAAGCAGATGTGTTGTTTCGCTGATGGCCATAGTTGCTTACAGGTCGCAGGAAATGATCAAAAACAAACGTGATGCTTAGCAAAAAGGAGCTTCTGTGCATGCTTCCACCGGTCGATTGCGTGGCTTGAGCTGGAAACCGGACCAATCTCGTGACCTTTAAAAGTGTAATCTTGTGGGTTTGAAATTGAATTGAGAGAACTGAATGTTGAATTGACGAGAAACCTGAAATTGAATTTAAGAGAACTGAAACTTGAATTTAGAGAAACTGGAATTTTAAAGTACATAAACAGTTTTTATGTACTTTTAGTTAAGGGTTAAATTCCCAGTTTCAAACTCAGATACAACTTTCAAGGGTCGAAAATCGATGCTCTGAGGTAAGGAGCAGGTTTGTTTGTGAACGTTATCAAGTTGAGCAAATTTTCAGATTCAGTTCTAAATTATTCAATTTGAGTTTCTACTGACACAAAAATCAGCCCATATAGCGCCAATTCATAACAAAAGTTATCTCAGGACACTTTTACACTTTACTGCGTATCATACCCTCTCCCTCTTTCCTGTTCATCTTGAGCTTTCTTGTCAATGAAGTAAAATATATATATATATTTAAAAAAATCTGTTCCTTTAAAAAAAAAGGCCATAAAAGCTATTATTTATTAATTATTTTACAAATATCTTGAATATTCTTTTATTGGCAGTAACATCAGTTAATAAACTTATTTTGTGCACAGTTGCAAGCTGTCAGAAGACATTAGACATCATAATAACTGGAATTGTTGTTATTGTGAGCTGTAGAATGATGTTCAATTGTTTTTATTAAAATTAGACCATCATTATTTAATCATTTTATTTTGCTATTTCCCAATAAGCCAGTAATAAATAAGTGATAATTTCTTTAATAGTTCCTGTAAACTAATATGAAGTTAATCAATAGGCATGATAACAAAAGGTTTATTCTCAGGTCCACATTTCTGTGGTAAGTAGCTAATAGTTACCAAATAACTTATTTCTAAAAATGTACCAGTAATGGTAGCTAAGGCATAGACATGTTTACCTCCTGCTCCCATACTTTCGAACTTTTACCCTTAAAACTCCACAATTGTCTTCTTAACTTTTACAAAGAACAACAGAGTAACTTAAGGACTGATGAACAAGCATCAGAAATCTACTAAACACGCTTAAAAGGACTTCATGCCGAAAGACAACCACATTAGCATGACTGTGTTAGCCACTGTGAACAGCTATCGGCTGCGTATTACTTCTTTAGAGTCTAATGCTGAATCTGTCAGTGACCGCCTGTTAACTCTGGAGTAAACCGCTAGCAATGTTAAACTAAAAGCTAAAGCCATAGACCTTGAGGCCTTCCAAAATCGACTGAAGGTCCACAGCCAATCTCCTTCTTCTCCAGCCTATTGCACGAGTTTCTGAATGAAGAACTGGACTGCACTCACAGGTTGCTGACAGCAAAGCCGAAGCAAGGTGTTATCATCATCATCATCATGTTATCATCTGCTTACATAACGTCCAGATCACGGGAAAAGTAATTTAAGAGGGTTGGAAGAGGAGATTGTTTGCTTGCCTGTACCATGTACACTGAAGTTATGAGGACGTGTGACGCCCTTGTGTTCAGGGTGGGACTGTTACAGAATATGTGAAGTTTAGTGGAGATTGGACATTGTACACTGAAGTTATGAGTACTATCTGTTTTATGGCGAATCGTCGAAATTCAACGCCACAGGCATGTGGTTCGACGTACAGTCACAAACAGCACAACTTTTCATCTGAAGTTTTTTTTTATTGTACTGACCAATTTTGAAATTAATACGATAAATTCCCAAATTCAAAATGGCCAACTTCGATGCCATGCCCTTCAATATACAGTCACAAATGACACAACTTATAATTAATATTATGTTTTGCCTGTACTGACCAATTTTGAAGTAGATCCAATCAATACCCTACAAGGAGTTTGTTCAAATACAACACAAAAAATCACAGAAAATGACCGAAAAATTCAAAATGGCCGACTTTGACGCCATGCCACAAACATGCCCTTCAACGTACATGCACAAATAGCACAACTTTTAATCAACAACATTTTGTAATTGTACTGACCAATTTTCAAGTTGATCCGATAATTTGAAGTTGTTCTGATCAATTCACTAGGAGTTTGTTAAAATAGAAACCCTGAAATTGACGGAAATGGCATCACAGTTTGATATTCGGTTCAACCTGGCCAACTGTGATGGCCTGAAATTAGTAATGTTTTTTGAGTGTACCAACCAATTTTTAAGTAGATCCGATAAATTTCCTAGGAGGATTTTGTTCAAATACAAAGTGGAAAAAATGGCAGAAAAATTAATTGCGAAATTCTAAATGGTCAACTTTTACGGCAAGCCAAGGTCACGCCCTTAACATTAAATCTTGGAGGCCTTAAAAATATGCTCAACAAATTTGGAGTTGTTCTAATCAATTCCCTAGTAGGAGTTTGTTAAATACAAGGCCTAGAAATTTGATAATAAATTTAAAATGGCCGACTTCCTGTTGGGTTTAGGATTTGGCTCCAAAAGGCTCTTTTGTATGTCCCAAAATGATACATATTAGGCATATGTCATTTTCATTCATGTCCGCGAAACAGGACACCTGTGCTGTTTTTTTGAAAGTTTGTAGGGGGGTGCTGTAGAGACCCACCCAGATTAAATGTAAAATGCTGCCATGTGGAACATGTGGGCTAAGTTTCATGACCTGTTAAAACAAGATGATGCTCATGGTTAAATAAATAAAATAAAAAAACAGTCTAAGGGTTTTCTAACCAAATTTCAGCTGGATGTGGTCAATCTGCTGGAAATACATTAAAGTGTAATACATTATATTTCCGGGTATATTTCCGGCACAACCTCTTTTACTGAATGTTATCACATAAATGTGTTCAGGGCGGGACTTATCAGACACTTGAAGTTTGGCACCGATTGGATGATGTACACTTGTGTGTGTTTTCTGGCGGTCCATCAAAATTTGTCATGAAATATCACCAATAATATGTTTTGCATTTTCTGACAAAATTTCAGCTGAGGGGCCATTTTGCCATGTTTATAGTGGACCCCTAAAAACACTTTTTGCCACAACTGAGATGTGCGCCGCATTTCATGAGTTTTCGATCATACGAAAGCCTTGAAGAATGCAATTTGTTAGTAGAATAATAATAACCTTTACAAATACAATAGGGCCTTCACACAGTCAGTGCTTGGGCCCTAACAAGATGAAGAGTAAATGGACAGCAAGAACACTGAAACTGATGTTATAGGCCTTTAGTTTGAGACATTTCAACCAGTAGATGGACATCACCAATACCAGAAGCTGCTCAGTGGTCACCAGTCTATGGCTGCAGTTGTACTGGGTGGCTCCCTGTCATATACGTTTAAATGTTGTAAAGCTGGAGTAAATATAAAAGGATGTCTTTGAATCTACACAATTACAAATTACTGAAAAATAGAAAACTGTCTACATGCACCTTGCTCCAATTGAAACTGCAAAATTCAGTTTGACTGCAGTTTAGTTGTTTTTTCTTTCTATTTATGTCACACAGATGAGATTGTTCCAGTACCAAAACCACAACAGATCTCCCATTACCAACACTTGCTTCAATCAAACCTCAAAGATAGGTTTATGTGTGCACAAGAGGGGTGGATGGAGAAGAAGGATGAGCAACCTCTGGTCGATATCTACACAGAACT